CACCTTCTTCATACTTCACAGCTCTGATGTCTTCTCTGCCCTGACCACTTGTGTGGGCATGTAACAATAATGGATGCTACACTCCAAAGTATTAAGTGCCAGTCCTTAAAAAATTTGGAGTTAGGAAAGGTAGAACCTTATCGTTCCTTTTGAGTATTATGTATAATAATGAACATTATATATTTTTTAAAAATGAGATACTGAAAGATGAACAGAAGGAGACAGGCTAGGAACCACAGGACCTGAAGAATGACCTCGTGGTGAATTCCCTGGCTTTCTTTTCTCTTATATATGCCAGATTTGGACGGTATGAAGTCAGTAACTTAGAAATGGACGTAAGCAAAAAGTCTCAACATTAACCTGCTCCCTCTAGCCAAAAGACCAAGAAAGAGACGGTCTAACTAGACAGAAAGCTTTGAGACAGTAACTGTTCTACTCCACCCGCACACCACAGAAAGAATTGTGGCCCCATGCTCCTCTATGCTAGTAAGTCTGAGTGGGGACCCTGACTTCAACCATGTGAAACTATAATGAAGTACTCAATACTGCCATTTGGGAGGTACCAGAAAAACCAAGTAGAGAACTGGGGATTTGATCCCTACAGGCTAAGAATGAGTACTCCCCCAGCTCCACCCTTGCATGGACCATGTGGGAAGCCAGAAACTCCACCAATCCCGGAGACCGTCTGTTTGACGACTCAGCTGTGTGGTAAATTTGAACTTCATCCACCTGATAGTAATGAGATAGCAGCTCCCTCCTTCTGTCAGAGTAGCAGTGTCAGAAAAGCTAGCCAAATGGAAAATTTAAATAAAATCCATAATATAATATGAAAACCTCCAGGCTTCATTATAAAATCATTTATCAAACCAAGAACAAAGAATATTTCAAAACAAATGAAAAGGTTAATAAATGCTAATACTGAGATAACATAGATGTTAGAATTAGCTGACAAAAATTTCAAAGCATCTGTGATTAAATGCTTTAGTGAGGAATTACCAACAAATTTTAAGGAAATGAAAAAAAATTAGCAACTCTCAGCTAAGAAATAGAAGGGAGAATAAAATGATCACTGTAGAACTGAAAAATACAATTATCAAAAGAAAAAATTCAGGGAACAGCTGGTAGCATGGTGGTTAAGGGTGCTAGACTCCCACATGGCCAACCACAGTTCAAGTCCTGGATCTGGCGGCTTGCTTTCTCACTTTCCTTCTCTCTCTCTCTCACACACACTCTCTCACTCTGGCCAGCTCTGGTCAAGTTAAAATAAATAAATAAAGTTAAATAAAATATTTTTTTTTAAAGAAAAAAATCAGTAAATGGATTCAACAGAATGGAATACTAGTCAACAATGAAAAGGAATGCACTACTAATCCATGTAATAACTTGATGAATTTTCAAAAATGATGCTTACTAAAAAAATTCCAATCCCAAAGGTTATATTCTGAATTAATACAATTCTATGGCAATGCTGAAATAATAAAATTATAGAAATGGAGACTATCAGAATTTAAAGAGGGAATAAAGTAACTAAGAGCAACACAAGGTATCATTATACCAAAAATTGTCTGTATGTTGTCTGTATCAATATCCCGGCTGTAATATTCAACTATAGAATTGTTGGATATTATCATTGGAGAAAAGTGGGTAAAACATATGGAATTATCTCTTGTATCATTTCTTATAACTGCTTATGAATCTACAATTATCTCAAAATAAAAATTTTAATTTTAAAAATGGTCATTGGGCTATGTACATATGCCCTAAATGGAAGAATGACTTTTAAATGGAAAAAAATGTTTAAATCACTGATAAGAAAGAGAAAGTTGAGGGACCAGCAGTTGTCATAATGGCTACATCATTGGACTCCCATGTAGTCTACCACAGTTCGAGTTCTGGACCCAGTGGCTTAAACTCATGGCGGGCACATGTGCATGCATGCCCAAGATCCCAAGGAGAATGGAGGAGAAGGGATCATGGTGTGGCCATCTTCCCTGGGGGATGATTTCTAGCTTTCTGTCTCTCTGTCTCTTTCTGTCTTTCTGGCGAGTGAACGTGCCCTATAGCAAAAACTTCTCCTAAATAAATAAATAAATAAATAAAAATGAAAAAAGAAAAAGCTGAAAGAAGATTGATTTTGAGTGACAGGAAAAGATGTTTTTAGTATGACACAAAATCAAAGAACAGAATACTTCAGGAGCTTCCTGAGAAGTTTTCACACTAGCAAAACACACTTCTGAGGTATTTAGTTTTTTATTTAACTGAATAGTTGTAATTAGCAGTAGACCAAACTGAGAAATACTGAGAAATTCAATGAAATTACCTAAATCAGTCCAGAAAGATAAAAATTGGTTTACTATCAATCAAATATCCCTAAAAGATACTCATTATAGGTTCATAACAAAGATACTGAGTTATTTCTTGGAAATTTATTTACTTATTTGCCAGTTATGTATGATACATAAGAGAAAGTAAACTAACTGTTACTGTGGCCTAAATGAATAATTTAACTTTCTTTTGAGAGAAAAATATCCATTTGTAAGAACCTGAAATTATATCAGCCATATATCTAAAGTCTCATAACACCCTTATTAGGCTCCTAGATAATTTACCATAAATGTTGATACAATTCCAAGAAGAAATTAAAAACTTATTTAAGAACTAACATCCTTTTTAAGTAATAAAAATATCATGAACATTTGAAAGAAAATATCCACCCTCTACCCCTGCCCATCTTCTGGATTGTGTTATATTTTATTACAGAGCTTTGCTCCTTGTACAAAATAAAAAATTTGTATTTCCTGAATAAGTTAGGAAAGCTCCATTCATACTTTCTTGGTTATTGTTCTCTGCTAGTTTCACTGCCCCATAAAATAATAAAGGGTGAGGGATGGATCTGTTCCCCTAAGTGATACACTGACACCCAGGCAATTACTTAACTTGCTGTTTCACATCTATAATTTGGTAAAAACTGCTTTAAAGGAACTAAAACAACCAAGATGAAGGAAACAAGTCAATCCAACAATCTAGTAAGTTTCTTCTGACTGAAGAGGGCACTCTACTACAAACTGTTCTTCAGGATCCATCCCTGTGCTATAAACTTTGTTGGCAGGTTACCTTGGATAGAAAAACATGCTTTCCATCCCTGTGTTCCATATACTCTCCTCATGACTCACTATTATGGATCCATTGGTCCCATCTGACAGGGCCAGTCCTCCCATTTGGAGATAGTAGATACAAACCCGAGGGACACTTGTTTGGTAGCACAGCTGCTCTGTCACAAGATGAGAGTATGGGAGAGGTGATAAACCTGGAGAAGAATATATTGAGTTGTCATAAAACCCATAACACATTTTTGCATAGAAAAATATGTCATGACCTTTCCGAAAACCCAGTATCTTAGTGCACTAAAAACTTTAAATGTAGTAAAATGAACTTTGTGGAGCTGATTTATTTTATATATATGTTTGAAGTCACCCATGTTAGGGGACCCAGCCACATGGCTTGATGTATTGGAATATTCACAGCTTCAAAAACAAAACAAAACCAAAACCAGTATTCTTGCAGATTTTTAGAACCTTGTTTGCAGTGTAGGGTTTTTATTAACTAGTAAACAGATGAATTTGTGGAGTGTTTCATGAGTTTGGTAGAAATGGATTTGCAATAGCCATGGGGAAGGCTTGCTTGGAATGAAACTTCCACTGTAGCACAGTCTTTGTGGAGAGGTGATAAGAATTTTTGTAGACTAATTCTCTGACTCCTTTGTGATCTTTGTATTCATGTGGAATTTGATTAGAGTTTATAAGTTGATAATATCAAAAGGAAATCTTGAAATCTCCCAAAAGACTATTCTCTGTAAGAGTTAATAATGCTTGTCAGGAAATTTCATTAAAGTTGGATGTGAACTTCTTTAATCACAGGGTTTGAATCTTACTATCATGAAGAGTAAAATGTCATACTTTTCTCTGTTTAGATTTAGAAATTTGAGCCAATATCTCCAGGTCGTAGGTGTGCAATACGCAGACCCAGTGGAGAGAGTTCTGGGAATCTCGGAAAGTATCTTGAGGTGATCCTAAGATCATGGCTCATAAACCAATATTTCTGAGTCAATTTCTTCCCCAGGCACTTCCTTGCCATGGTTAAGCTCTTTAGAATTTTTTGAGGATGCATCATCTAATCACCTTTGGTAGTTGGAGGTCAGGGGGCAGACTGAGTAACACAAGAAAAGTGAGTTTGGAGTACAGAGATCTGCATCTGTCACCTACTTTTGATACTGATGAGTTGTGTGACTTATGACAAGTCTCCAACTTAAACTTCCTCATCTAGATAAGGAAAATTATCTAGACAATGATGAAAACAAGAATGAATTATTTTCTGTCACTTATGAAGCTCTTGTTTTGTGCCAGGCACCTTGCTGAATGGTTTTAAGTGGTTTTCAAACTTCAATCCATTTAGACCTCACCTTAACACTGTGACAATGATCCCATCTTCTAGGAGAGGAAAATGAGGCAAGTTTCAGTAACTCACCAGTCATTAACTTGCAGATTTGGGATTCAAATTCACATCATCTGTCTTCAAAAAGCATACTCTCAACTACTGATCTATAAAGTCTCCCTAATGTGTCTACTGTTGGAACATCCCTGTGTCAAAAGTATAAAGAAATTCATCTCCTCAAAACTTGTGGCCTTTGACAAAGTCTCCCATAGGCATCCTCTTTTATAATCTCTCTTACGGTATGATAAAAAGGGAGACAGAAGATTTTATTCTTTTGTGCTATGGTTGCTGCAGCAAGAAAAAGCAATTAACTTGGGGAAGTATTTGGACTCTAGACTCTAGATTCATAAAAAGTCGGACTAATCTCTTAGCTTTCTGTCAGAGAAAAATCTCTAAATTAGTCACATAGCCCCTACGGTTGCATATTTGAGACAAAGGCTTGCCTACAATGTTCCCTGTGCTTTTTAGTTCAAAAATTAGGTAGGCCCTTCAACTTCGAAATCTCACTTTATAGACAGCTGCTTTCTGTACAAAAGTGGCTGCCTGGGGAACCAGCAGTTAGCATAATGGCTATGTCGCTGGACTCCCACGTAGTCGACCGTGGTTCGTGTCCTGGACCCGGTGGCTTAAAACTCACGCCGGGCGCGTGTGCGTGCGTGCCCAAGATCCTGAGAGGAGAATGGAGGAGAAGGGATTGCGGCATGACCATTCCCCCTGGGGGGTGATTTCTCACTTTCTGTCTCTATGTCTCTCTCTGTCTGTCTGGCGAGCGCACGCGCCCTACAGTGAAAATCTCTCAAAAAAAAAAAAAAAAAAGTGGCTGCCTGTGAGTTACTTTCACCTTGAAAAAAATGCATTTTTTCTCTATTTAATGTCTGCCTCCTTGCAGTTCTTATGGTTTGTGTTTCCCTGTCAGCTTTGGCATCCAGCATGATGGGAGAGAAAACGACTGTGAGCCTGTGGGCAGGCACCCATATATCATGTCACGACAGCTCCAATATGACCCCACACCACTGACATGGTCCAAGTGCAGCAAGGATTACATCACCCGCTTCTTGGAGTAAGTGACAATGTATTTCTTGACAGCCTCACTTGGATCTCTTTAAATTGGAAGTTGATGCTGAGTTTTGCAAAGAGGACCTGAAGATACTGGCAAAGGCTTAGTCCCACCCCATAGGACACATATTAGGTGTCATCAGAAAGGGGTAGATTTCATTTCTGCTTTCTGAGTATGAGATTGAGTAGGTTCTGCCCTCCAGCCATAGCCAGGCAAGAATTCCCTTCCCTACCTAATTGATCCTGCCCCAATGTGGTGTTTTATGACCTGATAGTGAGTTAAGTCTTTGGGGACTGGCAGAAATAATCAGGACAGGTTAGAAGTTGTCAACCAAATCTCAATGTGAATAACATAATTTTCTAATTTTATCAGTGCTTGTAGTTCCTAAACAACAACTAAACCTGTAGTATGGGATATAATTAGCATTTTTCATATTAACTCCCCCTTGGGTCCAGAGAATTCTCTGCCTTGTAAAGATATAGTTGTCTTGAAGGACAAAGAATACATTAGAGGAATGGAAGTTTCTGGTGGATGAAATACCAAAGAGAACCATATGCAACTTCCCTCATTTCTATTAACTTGTTTTCAGCCGAGGCTGGGGTTTCTGTCTTGATGATATACCCAAAAAGAAAGGCTTGAAATCCAAGGTCATTGCCCCCGGAGTGATCTATGATGTTCACCACCAATGCCAGCTTCAGTATGGCCCCAATGCTACCTTCTGCCAGGAAGTAGAAGTAAGTGTTGGGTATCTTGGTTCCTTTTCTTTTCTGGGCAGGGAAGGGACTTCAGGTCTTTAGATATCCAGCATGCTGAAGGAAGCATCAGGGAAATATTTGGAAATCTGAAGATCTAGACACAGAAATGGAAACTTTATACTTACGGTGTCGGTAAGGCAGGAGGATTAAATTTGGGTCATTATATTCCTTGACCCTGCCTCTTTGGTATTTAGTGGGATGTAGAATCCTTTGCAGCTGGGTGGTGGATGACAGTTCCACCATAATTTTCAGGATTCACAGTGATTTATACCTGCAGACTCCATAGCATCCAACTTAATCTCTAAAATGATGCCTTTTCCTAAATTTTCCATCTGATTGAAGAGTAACACCAGATCCCAAGGTAGAAATAAGATTTTCCCCAAATTCATTCTTCTCTTTTATTATCAATATCCAAGTAAAAAATGAGGCCCTGACATTATACCATTATACCTTCTATACAGTTTGTGGCTCTTCATGTCTTCTTCTGCTGTCTTGATTCAGTTCCTCTTCATCTTTCCTCACTATTGTAATTACCTCCTAAATTGTCTCTTTCCTATTCAAATTGTTGCTCAAATTATTTTGAGCAACACTAATCTAACCATGGTTCTATTTTGCTCTTAGTGTTCCTATTGACACAGCCCAGGACAAAGTCCCAACTCCTGTGTGGCACTGCCTTATGATGTAGACCTTGCTTATTCTCTGAGCTAATCTCTTTTTTTGCAGAGGTGTTTTTTTTGTTTTGTTTTTGTTTTTGTTTTTGTTTTTGTTTTTCCTATAGGGTGTGTGTGCTTGCCAGAAAGACAGAGAGGGACAGAAAGTGAGAAATTATCCCCCAGGGGGATGGCCACACCACAATCCCTTCTCCTCCATTCTCCTCTCAGGATCTTGGGCATGCACACACACGTGCCCAGTGTGAGTTTAAGCCACTGAGTCTGGGACTTGAACTGCACTTGACTAAACAGGAGTCCAGCAACATAGCCATTACATTAACTGCTGGTCCCTGAACTTAACTCTTTTAATGAAAGAATATCAGCATGAACACACCAATGTTGACCAGGCAAGACTTGCCAAATTCCTACCAATTCTAAAATGAAAAATATTAGTACACAAAAATTATCAAGAGGCTAGCCCCATAGCCAATGGTTAAGGGAACTGGATTACACATGGCTGACCATGCAGTTCAAATGCTGGCCCCAGCAACTTGAAAAGTGTGCTGGGCATGTGTGTATGCATGTCTGAAATCTCGACAGGATAAATAAATGGAGGAGAAAGGGCTTTGTCTTGACCATGTCCCACGGGAGGAAGCTTTATCCCTCTTCCTCTCTGTCACTCTCTCTCTCTCTCTGGCCAGTGCACATACCCTCTGGCAATTAAATTTTTAAAAATTAACTAGATAAAGTCTCTGTCTTCAATGAGCTCAAGTTCTGATGGAGGAATAAAATTTCAATACTGAGAGAGAAATACAAACGGAGATGTTTAGAAAGAACTTAGTGGAGGAAGTAAATAACTTAGAACAAGCAAAATGTGACAAAGAAGGTAAAGGTGATAAAAAAAATACCTCATCTCTCACTTCTAACTGGTTACCAAGTTATTCTGATTTTGCCTCCTAAATATCTTTAAAATCCATCTTTTCCTAGATGACTGTAACAGTTTTCTGATTGCTTTCTTTTTCTAAAATCTGACCATCTCCAGCCTTTATAATGGAGATCTGGTTGTGTTCCCACCTGACTAAAAGATTTCACATTTTCCCCAGGTCTTTTCAATAAAATTCAAACTCTCTAAGAGGGCTTCAGGATTTATGTTTTCATTCTCTGGCTTTATCTCTAAGAATATTGTTTTAACCACTCACTCTCTAAGCTGATACTCTTCTTATATGTATCTTGAACTTTATCACTAATATTTCACATCTTAGAAACTCTCCTTCATATTTTACCTTTTTACTTCCAATAGTGCATTATTTTTTTCTAAAATTTCTCTCATTTTTATGGTCTCTTATTTTTAAGTCAGACTTTCAATATAATTTTTTCCCTAGTCATATATGACACATTTATTTTGCAATTTAAAATGGCAATTTCCAATGTTGAGTGTCAATGTAGATCTGTTTCTGCAATATGAGAGCTCTCCTAGATCTTACTTACTCCGTCTCTATTATTTTCTTTTGTAATTTTCACTCTTACTGCAAGCTTTTGGTTATGAAACTCTATGTCATACTTTTTTTTTTTTAGGGTGTTGATGACTGGCACATTCTTCCAGAGAGGATTTCCACTGCCCTTTCTGGGTCAATTGGAAGTAAATTATTGGTTTGATATTGTGTCGACTGCATGAGTGGTATTGGTGTTACTGCAGATACAAACTCTCAGGATAATATTTTACCACTCTTTCTAGTGCTAAAGTCACAGCAGGCAATTTTTTTTTTTTAGCTATGATTCTTTTATTTATTCTTCCACTCTGGGTGTCTTTTTTGGGATTCTGGTCTTATATAATGTTTCCAGTCCTAATAGCCACCCTATGTGAGCCCTTGGCAGTCTCCATGCCGAAGTGACCACTAACACTAAGCTCCAGGCTACTAGGTTTGCATCGCCACATTAACACTTCTGCTACACTTTTAGCCTCTGAGGATACTTTCCTTACTTTCTTACCACCTCAAGGATGCATTTAACATATTTAAAATAATTTTCCCACCATTTTAGAAATTATATAAAAGTGAGGATTTTTAAGGGTATACTGTTACTGGAGATAGACAACTGTGGCTACCTCTGGTCAATTCTTCTTTTATACTTCATGGTTATTCACGTGTAACAACCTCCATTTTTTGAAAGTTTTCAGTTCTCCACTACTTCTAGCACTTGGCTTGTTCTGATTCCTGTGTACCGTCCTTACTACCATCATATGGGTCTCAACTTAAATGTCACTTCATCTCCTGTTCTTTGTTTTCCTCAGCAAAGTCTTCATTATATTGCAGTTGCTTTTTATTTGTGTATATCTTTTCCTACTAAACTATACATTCTCTGAGGAAAATTTTATTTCTGGCATCCAGTAGTGCTTGGCACATGATAAGCACACAACAAATAACTGAATGAAGCCTTCAGACACTGCATACTGCAGCCAACTTAAGTAATCACTTCCAACATAACAACACCCAGAATACAAGAGAATACAGCATAATATTTCTTTATTGTTATTTAATTATTTTTGTGTAAATACTGTAACGAGTTTCTTTTTATCCTTCACCTACCATGTGATATGTTATAAATATGTAATGAACTTACAAGAAGTTTTAAAAAATTCTAGGGAAAAAGTACTAATAGTCCAAGTAGTAAGCATGAATAGGTATTAAGGCTGATGTGGAGATAACCAAAAAGTCTGGGTTTTAACCCCCACATAACAACAGACAATGACATATTCACCTTGATCAAGTCAGATGTTAGAGTTGAGACCCCTACATGAAGCTGCAAGCCTTAAAGAACTCTGCCTCAGTGGAAAGATGGACTGGAAAAAATATACTACCAGCACAGTGAGGTGACAGAGAAACATCTATTCATTATCTTAGCCTGGGTTTTTGTGGGCAGAATTGGTTGGTAGATAACTTTCTCACTTGAAAATTGTTTACCACAGATCATATTTGTGCTGATTTAGAGTTAAAATTTATACTCTTGTAAGGTTTGAGAACCTCTGTGCCCAAAAAATTACATGAAAAATATTTCTGACTTGGGATTACAATGGAGTGATGGTAGAGACAAAGGTAAAACTGCTCTGGAAGAACCAACATCCAACTAAGAATGTGCAGAACTCCACAAGACAATAGACTCTGTTTAGATGGTTCCAAATTTATTTCCTAATTCAAAATCTAAAATAATTTATCTTCAGCTAAGAATCAGTTGCATGTTACTCAGAAGTGAGTGATGAAATGGTGAGTAACCTTTCCTGGTAGAAACAAGAATTCTTCAACTTTCATATACAAGAAAATTGAGAGTCAAAAAAATATGAAGATGGGACCAACAGATGGAGTAATGGTTACATCACTGGACTCCCATGTAGTCACCTGCAGTTCAAGTCCCAGACCCAGTGGCTTAAAACTCATGCGGGGTGCATGTGTGTGTGCATGCCCAAGATCCTGAGAGGAGGACGGAAGAGAAGGGATTGTGGTGTGGCCAACCCCCTAAGGATTGATTTCTTGCTTTCTGTCTCTCTCTATGGTGAGCACACATACCCTATAGCAAAAATCTCTTAAAAAAAAAAAGATGAATTTGAAGCATCAAGGACAGATAGGAAGGATCATCAATAACATGAATTCCAGAAGGAGAGAATAGAGGTGATCAAGGAGAGGCAAACTTCAGGGAGATAAAGATTGAAAAATTTCTAAAAGTACTTTTAAAACTATAAACTCATACTTTAAAAAACACATTTCATCTAGAATATGAAAAATGGGTGGGAGATGGGAGGATAGAGGCAAGTTTAAAAGATCAATAGAAGCTGCTGAGCCATTTCAGATGACGTATAAGAACCTCATCAACTTACCTTTGTTTCCAGGGGGGAGAGAAATGACAGGGGAGATCCAGTTGCTCCTTGACAGCTAAAATGAGCAATGACTTAGGGTATAAATAAATAAAAGGGAAGACTTCTGGATGTTTTAGTTTCTATCTCCTTCAGTGAGGAGGGTCAAGTGATAACTAGCTGTTTGTAATCAGATCGCCTGTCATTTACAGTTTGGATTTGCCTGTGATACATAATGTCACCAGTTACTCTACCCAAGGGAATGAGTACTGGATATTGTGCCACATAGTCATAGAAATTACAGTCACGATTCTCAGGAAATGCGTTTTTATCTCTCATTTCCATCTGGTCTACTAGGGCCTATAGACCCCTTCTTGTGCATGATGACAGAGTCCAAATTAAGTTTGAGTTGACAACCCTAATGATTCTTTGCCATCACTCTTATTCACTAAAACAATGTGAGTGTGTGGGTGACTGTGTATATTTTACCATAATTATAGAAATGCTTTTGTACAAGTTTTGAGAATACAAAAAATGTACAATCTCATGTTCATTTTCCAGAATGTTTGCCAGACACTGTGGTGTTCAGTGAAAGGCTTTTGTCGCTCCAAGCTGGATGCTGCTGCAGACGGGACACGATGTGGTGAGAAGAAGGTGATGTGTCAGGTGGAAGAAGGAAGCTGGGAGAGTAATGGGCTGAGAGTCTTGGAAAGAGCTGGGGGAAAGGCCCTGGAAGGCAGCTATTTCAAGATGAAGAGCAGAGAGTGGAGGTCACACAGTCAGACCAGCCAGAGGACAGGATTCTACTTACACTAAAACTTCTGAGACTTCACTGAAAACAAGTAATAAATTTGAGAGGGTTGAAGTCCAGTTCCACATTTGCAAATATGCCTCCCATCTTTCCCTGATGAACCTCCATAGAATGTGTGTTTAACAATATCTGCTGGGATTCCTTAACCTTCCTTTTGACATTTTCCCTCCTCCATATTAAAGATTAGAAGGACAAGCTATTGGTTTCATCCTTCTAAAGATACTAGATTTAGGCCACTTGCTATGTTCTTTCTCATCATCTGACATGACTGCTTTTCTTAAAGTTCTTTCTTCCCATTTTACTTGGCAAGAAAGTCAGACGCTCGAGAACTCAGAAGTGTTAAATGTCCTCCAGACTGTCTTGGATCAGGATTGTACATGCTGAACTAAACCAATTATTGTTAGCCTTAGGCTGGGGTGTTTTGTTTGTATATTTATTCAACTTGAGAGTGGCATGACCCAACAGTGAGATTATACAACCTGCTCAAAATACACAGTGACCAAAAATAAGGAGAAAAGAGACCAACAGATAAAATATGCCCACATTCTCTTGGAAATGTAGCCATTTTTAACAATCAAGCTGCATTTATTTTTGTTTTCATTTTTATATGTTGACTCTTCTAAACTGATAGTTGTGGAACGATTGCTTTGCAGAGGAAGAGAGTTGTTGTTTTGTTTTGTTTTCCCTGCATCTTTTGAAAGGCCAGAACTGTGTACACAATGGGTAAAGTTATAAGAAAGCAGATTTATTTTTCTTAATGTTAGAAAAAAAACTTCCTAACTAGTGGCTTTTAACAGCAAAGTTTACTCTTTTTTGCAGGAGGCTGAGCTCTCTGTTGCAAAAATCAAATGCCAACGACACTGTAAAGAAATACTGCTCGTGGTACCAATCTGTGAATTGTTATAGTCTCCAGCAAGATAAGGATCTTTACCAAAAAGTACTGGGTTGTCAGAAAAGGCATGACACATTTTTGCATAGAAAAAGCACCATGGCTTTTCTGACAACCCAATAAATCTACTAGGCTGCTAAACAACTGTGTTACTAAGCATACTAAACTGACATGCTTTTCATAGGGAGACTCTCCTCATGAAAGAAGTGATGTGTTAATTGACATTCTGTTGTGCACTCTGTCTACCATACGTTGAGTAACACTCCTACATTGGCCAAAACTAGACACTATAAAATGCTCTTCCCTTTCTGAAACTTTGATTTTAAAACCCAAGATACTTTTATGAGAAACTTTTATGAGACCTTTTTTTTACAACTAGTATATGACTATGGGAAACCTGCTTGCTCCAGGAGGATTGAGTTTAGACATTAAGGGTTCTTGGCTCAGCTTGCTATGAAAAACCTCTTGACACATGCGTCCCCCACCGCTTTTTTTTCCGCAGTGGTGTATGGCTGGCAAGTGCATCACTGTGGGGAAGAAACCAGAGAGCATCCCTGGAGGCTGGGGCCGCTGGTCCCCCTGGTCCCACTGCTCCAGGACGTGCGGGGCCGGAGCCCAGAGTGCAGAGAGGCTCTGCAACAACCCTGAGTAAGTCAGGCCATGCCCCTTTCTCTTCCTACCACAGAGCCGGGAAACCAGTCTTGCAGAGAATGACTTCAGTGATCCTATGTCTCCTGTCTTTCCCAAAGACAAAGGAACCAGAAAATTTACAGAGGGTGAAAAATAAAAGGTTCTTTTGTGTTTTGTTTTGATTTGGTTTGGGTTGGCCCTAGTCCTGC